GATGCATCAGATGTCAGTCTGCTCTCATGTGACCTAGCTCATCCGATGGATTGATTTCGTGATTATGACCTTTGGCCCTCGGCTAAGGGCAGGCCGCAGGCCGGAATCAGAACGGCCCTTGTCTTTGCAAATCCGAACTCCGCATGATTGGTGCACGCCTCGTTCTATGCACTCTCCCTGGCTGACGCTGGGAATTGCCAGATTCGGCCAAGACTACTTTGTGTGCAGAAGAAAAAGGTGAGTTTGGCCAAGACTATACTTTGTGTGCAGAAAAAAGAAGGAAAACCGGGAGTGTTGAGTGTGTCTTATTTGGCTGCCCTCTTGGTTGGGTTTTCAAAGACCAGCCGCCCATCCGCTTGAAGCTCATCTCCGGGCAGGAGCTCTCGCTGGACCAGAGCAAGGGGGTGCGACAGGCGGCGAGCTCAAAGTTCCTCCCAAAAAAGCTCTTGGATGTTGATCAGGGTTTGGTTGATTGGCGCAAGGGAAGTGGCAGCTATGTTTTGACGTATGACAGGTGACTGTACTGGGTAGCTGGGCAGCCCTTTCGGGTAGGAAATGTGGTGATCTGGCGCCGACGCAGCTTTTCGTGGATGTAGAACAGAGTTGCGTTAACTGATTGATATCTGGAAGCCCTCGACAGATTGCCTGAGGAATTTTAAGGCTTAAAGCCTTGCCTCCACAAGCAGCCGTGGTCGTCACAGGCGGCACGAGAAAGGCAGAATATTTTTTGACGATGACTCAAATGCTGGGCCCTGAAGTTCGGCTGAAATTTCTGATTTTTCTATGGTCAAGCTGGCTGGCGTATGGGGGGACCCTCTTAATTTCAATCGCCAAAGGCAGCGGACTTCGCTATCTACGTCCATAAGGGAGGGTATATAGCCAAATTGACCACGCGCGCATGGATATACGTGTTAGTTTGAGCCCACAGGAGTCACGCAGTGACTGATTGAGTCCCGATTGACGATCAAACGCACGTAACATACCTGATTTGTTTTCCTTTTTTTTAAATGTTGTTTTCCCCTTTTTCCCAATTTTTTCCGGTATTGGTCAACAATACCAAACCGCCCCCCCCTCCAAATAAAGCAACGACCTCGGAGGGTTTTATCATTAGGGCCCCCTGGTTTTTCGGACAACTGTCTCAGACTGAGTTGTTTGTTTAGTGTTGGGCTCAAATTGGAAAGGGGGGCCCCTTTCATTTGCCAAGAAAAGCGTTCGTAATGCAGCTTTTGAGTAAGAACTTTTACAGGGAAGGCGCCCTTGTCTTTTTCAACAGATCCCAATCCCCAATTCTCAAAACCGCTCACGCAAGGCAGAGTTAGGATTGAATAAAAAACGATCAGAATACAACTGTCGAGTGAAACTTCATAAAAGGGAGGCTGATGGAGACCCTAACTAAAAAGAAACGCTCAAGCAAGGCAACCCTTTTGCTTTTGAAAGATAAATGAGCTCAGAATACAGTTTTACCTTTCGAAAGGAACCTAATGGAGACCCCAACAAAGACCGCTCACGCAAGGCAGCCCTTTTGATCATTGCCCGGGTGGCCCCTGATAACATTCGGGGAGCTTGGTTGAGTTCATCCGGTTTCTTGTCGGCTGGAGCTGATTTTGATAAGGGGTCCGTTGATTGCTGCGGAGAGTGGATTTACAGCTGCTTTGTTTTTTAGGCAAAAGAGCCACTCGCAAGACTGGAAATTAATTTGTTCGATTCAACTGTTTTTTGGTGCCAAAAAAATGCATGCTGTTTTACTAGCTTGCTGACACACAACAGTCATTGAAATCAACCCAGTGGTTTCCGGATAGCAATCACCTCCCCTGCTTCTTTTGCCCCAGCGCGCCGACCGGAAACCGGTCGGCAACGGAGGCGGCGGTTTGTGCCCTCGCCAAGATGGGCGCAAGGCTCAGGTTCCATGGGTGGCTTTGAGATGTTGGTGGTACTACCCTTCAAAATTAACATGGAAGCCCCTAAAACGAATGCATTTCAGAGGAGACTCCTCTCAAACACTCTCGAGTTTATTCAAAAGAGCTGAGCCCTGGCCGGCAGTGCAGCTTCGCTCTTGGCATGTTCAGCCTGGAGGTTGGGCTGAGTCTCCTGGTTGTTTTCCCCAGGCGCCCGCGGCGCGGAGTTTGCTGTCAACTTCCTGGATGATGAGGACGCGGTTTCTTGGGCTTGCCTTTGCACAGGGTGCTTTGGTGCCACAAACTTGCCGTACTTTGCTCCAATCTGCTGTGTGTGTGTGTGTGTGTTTGTTCTAGGGTTTCCTCAATGCCACCCCGACAAGGGTGCTCCAAAAACGATGCACAAATCTTGACATTCTCCGCTAGAAGAGCTACAACCTGCACTTGCTTCTGAAATTGTTGGTTTCCCTGCAGCTTCCAGCCTCAAGGAGAGTCCGCGCTGGTCGTACCTGCGCTGAATGTGCAGACTGCCATCAGTTGATTTCGGGATGTGGGACAATCACAAGTAGCAGCTTGACAGTTCCCTTTTTTCCAGGGCACCCGGCAGCTGCCAAAGAGTCATTCTGCAGTTTGGTCGCTCAATTCCATGCTTTTGTGGTCATAACTTTGCCAAATTGTGGTCCCCAGGCAAAATCCACAAGAGGTGTAAGGCAACTTGCCTGTTGGAAGTTGGAACTTGAGGGCGATACATAGGTTTTCTTCGTTCTTCCTGATCTAGAGGGCAAGCTTCACTTTTGGGGGAACACCCGAATATTCCTCTGGGTCACTGAATTGGGGGTCGAGGAAAGGAACAAAGGAACGGAGGAACCACGTCGCGAAAGGCACCTGGCCCAGCTCAACCCGCTTTCTCCTCGAAAGGACCCCGCAGTGCGGCAGTCGGCGGTGAAGGCGACTGGGAGGGCCTCAGCTGCGCCGGCAGATTTCCCGCACGCATCAGCCCTGGAGGAAGCTCACTTTAGGGACAAGGCGATGCTGGCTTGGCCATCAGAAGTGGCAATATAGGGAGCCCTGTCCAAGGACTTGGTGTTCTTAGCGCTTTCTTCGCGGATTGGGTGCTGTGGAAGAAAGGTTGCAGCCTGAAAGCTGCAATATGAAAAGACCCTGACATTGGCAGGATGGCTCTTCACTTGCTTGTGCCTTGTGTAACCTTGGCAAGTTTTGTAGGACCACCCTCGCCCTTTGCGGAGTGCCATTTTGCCGGCGCCGAGTCAGCGAGCATGCAGTTGTATTACAGACCCCGCTAGACTCATGGACTTCTCATTTCCAACAGCTCATGCCCTGCATGGCCACGGAAGCGCATGGTTGTGGGAAACTGATGCCAAGGGAACTCCCCTTAAGCACGAACAAGTTGTCGTGGGGATGGGAAGTTTTCACTCCGGCAATTTTCCACCATCCAGTCATTGAGTGGCACCCTTGTTCGGTGTTCGCTGGATAGGTTCACTAGACATGATCAAACACAGCCCCAAAAGGACATGATTCCCTGTTCTACTTGGCAGGCCCGGCCACATTTCCCGTAGCAGATGCATCAATCGACAGGATTTGGCAAATGCCTTTAGATCGAGATGGTAACCAAGAGTAAATCACCAGCTCTGGTCATCTCTAGAGGGCCTGACCTGTGCTAGTGGTTGGTGGTGCATCTGTCCATTGATTCAAGCTCACCAGGACAGAGATTTGGAACCATTTTTTTACCGTGCGATTCCTGCATCCAAGTTGACGTACTTATCCTAATGCAGATCCGGAGTAGAAGCGACTGAGCACCTTGTCAGCCAGAGGGTTGATCATGTCGCACTTGATGGCCCGCCGAGTTGCATGAGAATTCTCAGGGTTGCCTGGGTGACTTAGACTTTTAGATGCTGGAGGGTTTTATTTCATATCTCATATATATATATATCCTATTCCACTAAAACTTTGACGCTGAGCAGGGATCCGAGCACCACAGAGTCTCACGGAGGTGGCCGCTCCAACGTGAGCCCATGATGCGCGAGCTCGAAGCAGCTCGATTACTCCTGGAGAAGTTCAAGCCATGGCGAGGAGAGATTCAGAACGAGGTCGAGGATCCACCATCTTTGCCACCTACTGACAGGCTTTTGGTTTGGCAGGCTGGGTGAGGCCAAACATGCAGGTCATAGCACTCAAATACAAGACTGCCACAGCCTTCAGATTTTGCCAAAAGAGATGTGTTTTGGCAGACTCGTGGAAGAATTTGGGTCAACCGGGAATCCACCCCTAAAAGTAGTTCTGCGGAACCCGCCAAATGCTCACTCTGTACGGGGCCCAGAGCATGAAAACCGCGGGGAGCGACAAGTCTCGCTTTCAGGTTCCGAACTGGGATGCCCAGGGCCTCTCAGACCGCCGGGCCTGCCTCGCGGTGATTTTGGCGGAGGCGTTTCTGCTGAACCGCCGCGCCGTGCTGCCGCGCTTCGCGCTGGCTCCGCAGCACCACAGTTGAAAGGGTCTAGACCGAACTCCCCGGGTCCGCGAGTACCTGGGCTTTAGGCTTTTTGGGAAAGCCATGTTAGTGGCCCACCTGAGAAACTTGTTTGGCTGAGAAAGGGACGCCAAGAGGAAACGGGGTCATGGGCGCCAATCCGCTAATTACCGAACATCTTGCAGACAGTTAGCAACATACCCACCAAACCCAGGGGTCTTGACTCACTTCTTTTGAACTTCCTGACAAGACATCGCGTATTTGTTTGCTTCTGCGCCTGTGGGAAGCACATTCGAGCTACACAACCACTAGCGCTTCGGGCATTGTAAAGGTTAGGGCGGGACTTCCGTCCCAACCACAGATGCACCAAGGAGCCCCTTCTGCTTCTGTGCATGCTTAGACGGGTATGGTTTGTCTTGCAAAAATGGCTTGTTTCCCACGTAGTCAAACAGCTCCAGAGCCGGCTGCCTTCCTTGTCCCGTTTACAGTGCCTGTTGATTCTTTGTGGGAGCTACAAAAAACATCTGTCCCAAAATGGGTGACACGCAAATACGAAACCCACAAAACTGGATGCGAAAAGACAATAGCATGTGCTTTACCAAACTGAAGGTGCGAACATGGTGCCTGGAGAGGGGTCCTAGCTTGAGACGTTCCTCTGAAACGGACTCGCTGGTTGGTTCCATGTTGGTGGACGGAAGCGTGGAACATTGATTTGGGTTCGTTCGGTTTCCCTTTTCTCATCAAGTCTACACTTCTGCCGATCGGGCCTTTGGATCAGCCCTACTTTACAAAGAACATGATCCCAAAGCTTTGGGTGATAGGCACAACGGCGGCCGGCAACGAATCTCCGACTTGTTGGACTACGTATCCCTGCACCGCATCTCGGTGCCCTTTCTGCGGGAAGAGGAGGTGCTGATGGGGAGAAACGGTGGAGTGTCTAGGCCTTTGCACCCCCTGTTCATACCCCTGGCCAATATAAAGGGTTCGACTTCATTCCCAATATATACCTGGAGCGTCCTTGCCCAAATTTCCGCCCTGAGCCCAAATGTATTGCAAAATCAGGGGTCGGCCTTTTCAAAATAAGGTAAACGTACACGTTGGCATGCTTCGAGCTTTTTTTTTCCAAAACCGAGCTTTATGCAGGGGCAGAGCAGGCGGTGCATTGCGCGCATCGCCGCGCCAGCCGCCGCCAGCCTCTCCCTCGCCCCCCCCCCCCCCCCCAGCCTGAGCAAGGCCGCACCCGGAAAAAATAACAAACATAAAACAGCGACGATGCCATTCGTAGCGCAGCCCATAGGTGTCCTTTCTCTGTGCGTTTGCTTAAAAACTAATATGACCCTCGTTTAGTAGGGTTGTGCATGCTATCGATTTTGCCCATCGCAGGTGCCCGCAGAGGCGCTCGCCGGGGCCGTGGAGCTGGACATGGAGCAGCCCGAAGTCTCGAGCGCCAAGGTGCTGCGGCGGCGCTTGCGGCGCTCCTTCTGGCAGGAGGTGCGCGAGGCAGGGCTCGGATGGGTTACCTGAAGGACCTGGAAGTCCCCCCAAGTGCTCAGAAGGGTGGGGAAAAGACCATTTCACTTGTGGATTTTGCAGGGTGGTTTTTGTTGGTTGCATACAAGTGAATGAATATGAGTGGGTTAGCTGGTGGGCGAGCATTTTTTTGTTGTTGGGCAACTCCCATTCGCTTACGCTTACTTGTTTCTTCTTTGCTCGTCTCCAAACGAAGCGGCTCAGGCGGTGCCTGCGTCGGTGCTGCGGCTCGCAGGGGAGCTGCACGGCACCGGCATGCGGCCCACTTCGGGGCTCTTCGAGCCCTCGGAGAAGGCTCGATTGGGAAACACGAATTCAGCATCCAAGTTGCCATCCAAATGGGTATGGGTCAAAATTAAGCCACCAGGGGACCGCGGGTTTTAGTCCTTGGTTCCATTTGCCAGGGTTCCATTTTGGGGTTGCCCTATTTTTGACCCCCACACCCAATTCAGGCATCCAAGTTGCAGGCATCCAAGTTGCGGTTTCGAGCATTGGCGAGGTGTAGCCAGTTGGATAAGACATAATGCTCCGCATATCGCCAGAACATGATCGACATGTGCAGTAGGCTTCCAAAGTAAGATGTTGATAAACGCGCGAAATATACCCACCGTTTGATGGTTGGGCTATCTCGACCGCACATCAGACCGCCTTTGGAAGACCAGGGAACACTTTGGATCACTTGCAGAAGTGTGATTTCTGAAGTAAACAAATGGCGCCAGGCGCAAAATATAGCCTCCAGCCAACATCTAGTCCAGCTACCTCGACCCTACTGTTTAAGGCCTTTGGAAGCCCAGGGCGTTCATTGATCTTGCCGTAATTCAGCGCACATGGCAAGCTTAACCCCATGACCAGGGTGTCATAGTTTCATACCTGGGATTCATAGAAGCCTTGAGGATGATAGGTCCCCCAGCTTCGCCAGGTGCTGCGCTTGTGGCGGCTGATGGCGCCACATCTTGGCCAGGACTACCTGGCAGTGTGCCTCGCACTCCAACCCAGGGTGGTGTGTGTGTGTGTGTGTGGGTGCGTGCGTGGGTGGGTGCGGGGGTGGGTGTGGGTGTGGGTGTGGGTGTGGGTGTGGGTGTGGGTGTGGGTGTGTGTGTGTGTTTACACATGCCCTCAAAAATGGATTGTGGGCATAATTCCCTTTGTCTGTTGGCCTTTTGATAGCGACTTGTTAGGCCATTGACGGTTGGTGTGAATCAGCAGCGGTTTACATGGGTGCAGCCTCTCCGAAATGCCAACTTATGGAACTGGTTCGCCCCCAAACGCAAGGCAACAAGGCGTCATAGTAGTCTCTTCGAGATATATAGAAGGGCTTGGCAGTTTTTGAACCAATCCTGAACTGTTTCTACTTCATCAAGCAGTTCAAGAGAGCGTGAATGAAGGGAATCCTACCCTACTTGGGTTGTTCAACATTGTTGTGCCAGCTAGTAGTTGTTTCCCTCGTTGTATACTCGTGGTGTCCCGGGGTATCCCCCAAATTTTGAACAGCCCAGCATAAGACCCTCTTGGCCGCACGCAGACTGCGCGCTCGAGGCACGTGCGCCGAGGGGACAAGTTGGTCATGCCCGGCCTAGCAGAGGCCACCTGCCCCGCAGCTGTGGCAGGTGGGGCAGGGCGCTCAACCAGGGGGCCCCTTCCCCCAATGGCCAGTCATATCCCAAAGGCGATTGCCGAACAAGCCAGCGGATAGCTGTTGGGGGGTCATGGTGACATGGTGTGCAACGCCCAAGCAGAGGCTGCAGCAGAGGTATATTTTTTGTGCATTTGTTTGCGGAGCCTCTGTCGGCTATTGGGCCAGTCATTTGCCCCTGGTGTTGCTTTCAAGGTGTCCTTGGTGTCCATGTGGCAGGGAAACCGCGACAGACTCTCCCGAACTATTTCACACTTGTTTGTTGCTTTGTCAATGGCGAGTGAAGTCAGCCTTTCAAGACTTTGTTCGAACAAAGAGACTCTATCCTTGTTACCATGGTCACATATGTACGGGTTCAATCTGGGGCCAATACTTTGGCTGGTCCTAGGGAGTCAGGCCAGAATCATTGGGACGACTTTGGTCAAATCCTGGGGCCCGTCAAAGGCCTAACCCTGGAAGGTTTTGTCTCCCGCGTGGCCGGGCAGTGCCGGAAAGTCTATGTGGCCACCAACGAGGAGGTTGAGAACTATGAGGAGGCGTTGAAAGATGCGGGCTTCCTTTGCTATACGGCGAGGACGGGGGTTGCTTTGCGGGGTGGTGGGGGTTGTGTCCCTTTACCAGCACTTAGAGGGGAATCTTGAGGATGTTAATTCTATGGGCTCGGCTGGGACAATACTAAGCAGCCATTTGGTTGAGAGTTGGTTCATGTGGAATATTTCAAAACTAGACCGCCTGCTTGGATCTTGAGAAGAACCAACGGCAAGTCGGGAAGGCAACTTGTACCTGTGATCATTCGACCCCTTTACTTGGGGTCACTAGTCAAGATCATGAACCCCTTAATAGGGAATGTAGACAACCAATGTAATGGTCTCTATTGCGGGAAGCATGACCATGACACGCAACTGGCGGAGTTTTCAGGGGCCAAAGTATGGTACCCTTTTCGGACTCGGCAACTTCGGAGAATGGCTGCCTTTGGCAGTTACATCTCACCATCGCAGGAGCCTGGTATCCTTGGACGCCTTCACTGAGCTGGCACCATGGTCAGGCTTAGCCGGGGAGAGCCAGTTTTCCCAAGGCCTTTTTTTTGACCTCCATGTTCAATCTATTGGTTGTCGGGTTCAAAGCAAGGTTGAGGGTCAAAGTATCCAACGTCCCCTGGTTATGCTTTCGCTTTCTTGGGTGTTTCATTATGTTTCTCCGCGGTTGATTCCCCCTTCTGTTCGACCATCGTCCGTTCACAAATCCAGCCAATTTCTGAGGGGCTTCGGTGGTTGTTCGCAAAGAAGGATCCCTGGAACTTATGGAGAAGTTGCTTCTAGACTCTTCTTGCTTCATCGGCAGGACTTGTATATGTCCCAGCACGGCGGATGCCCAAAACATTGCAAGTAAGGGCCGCCGTCATTCACCTGTAATTTGTGTTTGGATGTGTTGTCTCACTTCCTGCAGTTGGAATCCGCTGCTGGCTCATGTGAAACCGGTGAAAGTGTGCGCGAGAGATCTCGCCTCATCTAAGGCGGACGACAACTACCTGCTCTTTGCGGTGGAGATGAAGCTGGTAGACGAGGCTAAGGTATCAGTGCGGACCTTCAACGACGCCACTCCCTGGTTTTGTAGCCACAGCAAAGTGAACCTTGGCGCATCGGATGGGCCCAGGGTTTGCCCAGCAGACCTCCAGTGTCCAACGTTCAACTGGTCCTTGTTGTTGTTTTGTTTTCTTCCGCTGAAAGCTTTGGGGTCTTAGAGTCTTGCCCTGGGCCGGAGTTGCTCGGAGCGGCTAAAGAGGGCATTTGCGGGTTCCGGAAGTGGGAAGGTTTCCAGAATTTTCACCGGAGCTCATCTTGGCCGGGGTTCTTCTTTAATGTCAAGTACCGCAAGCTCCTTGAGAGATGTTTGAAACACACCCCAGGGCCTGGCATCATGGGTCAAAGACAGGGCTCGACATGGTTTAACCGAATGCCCGCCCCTCTTGGTGACCTGTTTAGCACCCTGGGCGGTGCCGGTTTCACCGATTGAAAACCAGTGCTTGCGACTCAATTGACACCAGCGTGAAAGATTCACGACTTGTTGGACAACACGGTGACGTCATGACCCCTTTTGACCGCTCAAGCTCAGAAGGGTACTTTGGGTTGGTTCTGGAGGCAACGCCTGTGTCATGAAACAATTCGATTTCATTAAGCTTTTGTCTTAGTCGGCAAACCTTGAATTTGGGTTTCCACGGAGCTGCGAGACAGCACAAGCCCAAAGGTCCCATGTTGGGCTACTGGATTGGGTTTTTGTGGGTTGGCGGCACCCAAAGAAAAAAATACATTTCTTTGCTTTTTGGGGAGGTGGATGTTCTTTATAACATCAGTCCCATTTGCTAGTGCAAGAAAGGTTTGGAGTCACCTATGTGAAGGGAGGTCTCGCGGTTTTGTTTGTGTGAGCTGCCACAAAAGATAGCGTATTTATGCCCCTATTCACCCACTGAGAAAAACACGCAGGCCTGGGCTTTGTGCTTGTTGCGTCCAACGCGGGACCCCCACATGATGTCCCATGCTAAATGTTCACTTTGAGTACACCAGCTCTTCTCATGTTCAGCAGCTCCTCAAATGCGAGATTCTGCCAAACAAACGAGGAGCCACTTCTTGCTGGACCGCAGCATGCATGACTACGTTCTGGGGCTCAGCGGCGCCTCAGCGAGTGGATTTCCCTGTCCCCCCAGAGAGTACTTTTGCGGACGTCCCGGTATATAATGCATAGAATGCATCCAGGTTCATGCTCGTTTCGAAACCTCAACCCTCCAACGATTTCTTTTCCCATGTCAAGGTCCAAAAGAGCAGTAGTACTGTGGATGGACGGAATCCTGCACCACCTCAGAAACCTTGGGAATGATGATTCCCCTGTAATGCCAACAAACAATGGTTCCTTTTTGTTTCTTGGGTGCGAAATTGATTTTGTCCCTCCGTCGGAATGGGACCCTTCCCCTTCTTCCGCTTGGCCGGCGGCCGAGGCCTGGGCCGCAGCTCGCGGCACTTCTGCAACCCGCTGGACTTCGAGGCTCTGCGCTTTGACGCGCTGGACGCCGCGCTGCCGCGGCGGCCCACGCGGTCCGAGAGCTGCGAGGTGCCAAGACACGTGCTGGCGGCTCGGCAAGGTCAGGGACCATCCTGGGTGATGGGGAGTTCATGCGTGTAACTGGGGCTGGACATGTCTGGACTTTGCTCAAAGCCACACCCTACAGTATTATGTTTAGAAGGGGGGTTCCCTTTGCGAGTACAAGGGAAGAAAGGTATGGAAAGGTGGGGGGGGTTACATTGTGGCAGCAAGTTTTTTTTCCATGGCCCTATACATTTGCACCATTCGGGAGCACGACAAAAGCCGTGCGCGTTCTTTGCGAGTTCTTCCCCGTACTCGCAATACCCCCGTTGTTTTGGGCATATATTGAAAACCAGGTGTTCCATGATCAACTCCTTGATTGGCCAGGGGCTGACATCAGTCAATCCTGAGACACGTGGGCATGGGCGTAGGTTTGTTTCTCTCGCCAAGAACAATCGGCGCCTTCCAGGTGTTCGAAGGATGGAGCACGGCGCGGAGCTGGCGGGACGTCCCTGCCTCCATTTGGCCCATGCGGCGGTGCGCGGATGGGAGCTGCCAGGTGGAGGTGGGGCATCAAAATCGCAAATCGCCAGTTGTGTCGTGGTCCCCGTGTGGCACCTCCCGCATCCCCGTTTGGGTTTGGTGGGTTCCCCATTGAAATATGTCAATCACAGAAAGATTGTTGAAGTTTCTCTTCTTTCCACATGTCATTGGACAACTGGGGTGAAGGGTTGTCAGTGCCCTCGAAGGTGTGACAGGAAGCCAGTTTGATTGTTTCCCATGGCTTTGAGTACACTTCAATATCACAGGAGGAACACCTCTGACCTCTTCTGGCCATTTTAGGTGGAGGGTGGCTCCATTTTATAATCACCCACCAAAGGCAGAGACGACAAGAAGAAACTAAGGTTATGAATAGTCCTAGTCTACGCTTGTGACATGTTGGAGAAAAATGTAGGTACCAAAAGCCAAGGGCGCGCTCCAACTTTGACTCAGGTGAGCTTTTGGGGCCCCGAGCTGCCAAGCCCTACGTCAATCACCACCTGGACAGACGCTTGGGTCAAAGCCAAGTTTGTCACAATTTGGGATGCGAGTTACACCTGAAGTTTCATCTGAAATCTAGGAGGCTAGCCTTAGCTTGCCTTGAGTTTTCACTTGTTGCATTTTTGGCTTTACAACCGCTTAGCCTAGCTATGCTTCCGCACGTGGCGGTTGAGAGAGCAAAACGCGAACTTTTGGCGGGGTAAAATCTGGCCCAGAATCCGAGTTCCACTTTCCTCTTTGCGGGGAACAACTGGGCAAGTGGAACCTCTTCCTGCGGCCATATGGCCGTGATTTTTGATAGGGAGCCACCTCAAAAGTGATTGGTGGACATGAATCCCCACCTAAATGATGTCCACCCAAAAGTCTTGGTGGACATGAATCCCCACCTAAATGATGTCCACCCACAGGTCCCCAAAAACTTCACGGCCAAATTCGGAAAAAAAGGAAGAGAAAAAAAGCCCGCGTTTTCCGAGGACTACTTCGGGCCTTTGGCCAGCTTCCAGGACACCTTGCCCAGCGGTCCGCGCAGGTCGACGCTCTTCGGCTTCGAGAATGTGTCGCCGCAGCACCAAGGCCGCCGCAGGGCGGAGCTGCCGCGGGCCACGGGCGCTGTGTTTGCGTACTGCTCCTTTGGCACATTTTGCTTGGAGAGGTCATGGGGTCATGAGTGTTGGGGTGGTACACAACACATATATGGAACCTTCCGTTGGCCCTGTGGCGCATTTTGCCAAGGGATGTTGGGACTACAACTTTTGGCCAACAAATGGGTTGTCCGTATTCAACCACTAAAAGTTATTCACTTTTAGCAGGGGACCCGAAAGCAACCGAGGCTCCCTGGGCCGCGTGACCGTGACGGACAGGAAGGGCCGCCTGGAGCCTCGATCAAAGGGCAAAGCAAAGCGCTGGGTTCAGACGGCAGAGTCTTTTCGTCAATGATTCATGGCAACCCAAGGTTCCATTTTTCGGGAGCCGGACAACCAAATCTGGATCAATTGTGGTGGTACGGCCAGGTCTTTGAATGCCATTCATTTTTGCAGGTCTTTTGCATCCCCCAGAAGGTCCAAGTACTTGCACCTTGTGTATTTTGCGGATTTGGACATGAGTTGACAAAGTCTCTTTAAGCAAGCCCAAATTCGTAGATATGTCAAAGTTTCTTTGAGGGGTCTGTATCAGAGCCACAGCGGACATTCGTTACATGTCCTGCTACACACCCTATGTTGCAAGACCTGCTGGCTCTTCGCATACCCCTGGTTACATGCCTTCGTTGCATACCTCATACTAGCGAAACCTCCTGGCTGGTTGCACGCCCCTCGTACCCAGACCTTGAGAGATTTCCCATGGGTACCTGCGCAGACTTTCGCAGAGCATGTTTTCGCTCTCGTGAAGAGTCAACTTGCAGAGAGCTTGCCATTCTGAAGAAAAGTTGGAACCGGAAGAATGAAACTATGCCTCGGTACATACCTCGTTGCGTAGCCAACCCCAGGCCAGCGACCCCTTTTTTGGCCGTCGTCTGGCTTGCGTTGAATAGTTGCAACTTTCAAGCTGGAGCTAAGAAGGTGCGCTTTGCGTATTGCCAGCACTGAGTAGTTGAGACTTTCGAATACCCCGCTTGTCGTTCTGCGCTGCATTGTCCAACTTGCACTTGTCAGGCAAGGTTTTCCCGCTACTCCCTTGCGCAATAGTAAGAAGGACCCCCGTTACATACCTCCTCGCACCATGCCCCAAAAACGTCAGTGCCATATGGAGTACTTCCTCATGGAGCTAGAAATCCTTGACTCACAAATCCCCTTGAGCCAAGCCCAAGTTTACAAACGTGGAGTAGGACCCTTTGCCCTTTGTGTGCAAATCCTCGTCCATTGTTCACAAAAGGAAACCCCATCCTTCAAGCCAAGGGGTTCACTCCCCACGATTTCCCAAGCTAGCCCTGTTTGGAGGAAACCATTGATTGAAACCCAAGATGGATCACCCCCCCCCCCCCGCATTTAGTACATACTTGCGGATGTTCCCCAACCGCCTTGTCGCCCACAAGTCTTTTCTGCACATCCTAGTTTCCCCTAGACCAGCGTTTTGATCATCATCACCATCACCCAGCACCATCACCCAGCACCATCATCACCACCAGCATCACCACCAACCCACCCACCCACCCACCCACCCACCCACCCACCCACCCACCCACCCACCCACCCACCCACCCACCTACCCACCCACCCACCCACCCACCCACCCACCCACCCACCCACCCACCCACCCACCCACCCACCCACCCACCCACCCACCACCCACCCCCACCCACCCACCCACCCACCCACCCACCCACCCACACCCACCCACCCACCCACCCACACCCACCCACCCACCCACCACCCACCCACCCACCCACCACCCACCCACCCACCCACCCACCCACCCACACCCACACCCACACCCACACCCACACCCACCCACACCCACACCCACACCCCCACACCCACACACCCACACACCCACACCCCCACACCCACACCCAAACCCACCCACCCACCGACCAAAATTCCAGCGGCTCGAGGAGCTGTGCGCGGGGCAGTACGGCGCCTTTGCGGCGCCGCTGTCTCTGGCCCTGGCGCCCGCCACGCGGCTGGTGGCGGTCCATGCGGAGCCCTTCACTGCGCTGAGGAGCTGCGGGGGCCCGGTGGAGCCCAAGGGCCGCTTGAGGCGGGGCATGGGCTCGGACTCAGTGGACTCAGGCAAGTGGCTCAAAGATTTGTTCTAAAGGGGAGCCAAAAAGCAAAGCCCTCCCCATTTTTTTGGGAGGGGGGTCCCAGTAGTTTTGAGACACGCCGCATGCTTCGTCTTTGGATGCTTGAAGCAGGCAACACGGTTTTAAGACACAGCTGGCATACAAGTTTGTAGTTTCTGGGAACCAGGGACACAAGTCAAGATTGGGACAGCTTCAAGAAAAGACCTGAAGTTTTACATAGATTCCCGTTTGATTTTGTTTGTTTACCTGCGACACGTGGCAACGGCTTGACGATGAGGTATGTGGATGGATGTTCGGACACACTGCTGCTGGCCCCGCCCAAGCTGTCCGACCCGTGCCTGAACCTGCTGCACTTCCCGGCTCACATCTCCCAGACGGCCCACACCCATCCCTCCCTGCGCTGCGGTTTGATCGCCGGCGGCGCAGGGTATTGCCAGCATCCGGGCGGCCAGCTGCAGTTGAAGCCAGGGATGGTGTGGGCCATTCCAGCCGAGACGGTGCATTCCTTCCACACGAAAGCCCAGGAATCATTGCCAGAGTGAACTCGCTGTTTCGTTTTTTCCGTGTGGGTTGCCGTCAGTTTCCCTGTTAGGCAAACAAAGCAACCTTTGGAATTTTGCACCTTTGGGTGTCCGTCATTGTCCCGTTTAACCAACAAACACATCAAACATATCAGCTCTTGGCAGGGTCCTTTGTCCTCTCCCAAGGAGTTGAACGTCATCGCGTACCACCCAGACACCGATTGGGGCCCGCAGGATGAGGACCACCCCATGCTGAACCGCACCTGGGTGGACGGCCGCAAGATCGACAACTCCAAGCACGGCGCCGATATGCTGTGCACCGAGCAAAGTTTGGTCGAGGCGCTCAGGGCCCAGACCAATGGCAAGGATCAGAAAGGAGTACTTGGGCCCCTCACGACGAACAGTGACGACCGGAACGGGACGACAACGAATGGCGCCAAGCGATGGGTACAGGCGCTGGCTGTACTGGAAGACCAGACACCTTTGCTTTTGCAACCTGCTCCATCTCCAGACGAATCCGTTGCCTCGGTGAGTAAAACTGGTCAGCCGGTCATGGAACTTGCCGCCGATGGCCCACGGCAGGTGAGGCTCCACAAGGGGCAGCTCACGGTCTCCAAGGTGTGACCTTGGTGCTTCGGCGCAAGGGGGGAGTGAGCGTCGGACGCGGGTCCCACACAGATTCACGGTGGCCGACGTCATTGGCAACTGCCCAAAAGCACATTGCGGAGCTTCGCGAGGTGTGATGCACGGGTCGACTGGTGACTGGCAGTCCAAGATTTCGAGCTTTGATGCTTCAGGCTTCAGGCCGCGGGAGACTGCAAGGCGTTTGGGCAGCACGGGCTTACTGCGATGCAGCTTTCCGTTTTCATCCTGGGTGTCGTGCATCTCACAATTTGGCTCGTTGCCAGTGTGCGCTCCCCGACCTTTGCGAGTACGCGCGTAGATGGCAGAGCTGGAAAGAGTGGCAGTGGTTCAAACTGCCACAGGTCATGCATTCCTTCCAAGAGGGGCCCCTCAGCGCACAAGTGGCCCAGCTGGAGGCAGAAACGAAGAATTCGCTCAAGCCTTGACACCTGCCATCAGTTGCCATCACTTGCCCACTTAAAATCTTACCTTTTGGTGCAGCTTTCTTAGTTGGTTTCCTCACAAGTGAAACAACGCGTTTGTGTAGCACCGCTTGTGTCATTCCATACCTTGCCAGGGGTGCTCGAGATCGCTTTTAGAAGGTGACAGCCCAAGGCCCAAGGGCAGAAAAGTTGTTTGATTTGAGGGAGTTGGTTTGATTTGAGGTTCTTCTGTTTCCCACTGACCAATTTTCTACCCTGCCTTCCAACGGGGTTGCAACCATAGGTGTCCTTTTTGGTTGATTTGGTTGAAAAATAGAGGGCCTTGGTTTACTTGGTGGTTCAATCAAACTACCAGGGCCCTCTGTTTTCCCGAAAAGGACACCTGTTGCCACCCTTGCCCGCTCGTTACGTGCTCACCGGAGGTGTACAGCCCGCTGCACTCCAAGCTGAAGGCCCACCTCGCCCCGCACCCAGACCGAGACGAGCTTCGTGCAACGCGCAACCTATGTCGACTGAGGTTTCTTGGAGCCAGGGTGTCCTTGTTGACCCCATATGAATTTCAACCCCAGGTTTGAAATTCAGGGGTGTCCCTGGGGTTAGTGGGGAATCATCACTTTGGGAGCGGAAAACCTTGTATTCATAAACTGGGGTTGATTCATATGGGGTGAACATTACCTGTGGAGTTGTGGAGTTGGCAAAGATTGAGATATTTGAAGGGTGATTTCCTGAATATGCCTTCATCCACGTCCAAAATGTTCAAAGCTTTTGTGGGTGGGTAAGCGTCCCAGAGTGGTTTAGTTCCCAGAAATCTTGACGGGTTGGAAGGATTGGCGACGAGATTGTTTAGATTGTCGTCCTTGGATGAAGAAGAGGAGAACAGTAAGGATAGGATTTTCTTTAGTGCACCTTGAGGCCAGCAACAAAGGGACACATGGAATTTACGACGATTCATGTCTTATCCACATGAGGATCAGCATACTGACTGTGCATCTCGTATACGCGCAAGTGACAGCTTGTTGCCAATAACATTTGGTTCAAGACTTAGCAACCTCACCATGGGCCAATAGGACAAAATTGGCTGCCCCCGGACTTGGACTATTACGTACAACGGGCTTCCCAAGACCCCAGCAAACCGCTATAACTGTTTGAACATGGGTTGCCCAACCCTGGTAGGATCACTTGCGGCTCAGGCATAGTGAGATTAAAATCTAGAACCTGATGCTGGAGGTATTCATCCTTCATCGTGTTTATCTAGACTTCTCAGAAAGCATGAAAAGCTTCAAACAGGGCCCCACTGGAGACGGATTTGCTTCACGCCAAGTTTTTAATCAGTTTGGCCTTGGCACTTGTATCCACCGTGTGTTTGCGCCAAGTCGTTGGCGACAGATAGGCCGTCCTCTCAAAAGGGAAGTTGGTGCAATCAAGATATCTTTAAGAGCAGGCTGGCTTGAGTTGTGGCAGCTGCGAATTCAATCATGAAGCAACAGCTGCTTAATTCTCGGCAGGAAGCACCACACTGACCCGAGACTGCAAGAGCTCAGTGACTCCGCTTTGCGCAGAGTATGGAGCCAGCTCGCATGACATTTTCGCGCTAATTGGTCCTTCCATGATAAACTCGCAGAGAATTCTATTCTTTGAGGTGGTGTGAATCCAATGACCTCAATGCAATTCTGGGCGTTTCTTCGCTCAACTGCCGCCGTGCGCTGCACCTCCTGCCCTCTCTCCCACAAACATATTAATTATTACCTGACATGGGGTACTTTTAAAGAGGAAACGGCTCTTCCAGGTACCGCACCCTGCGACCTTTTGTTGAGGAGGTGTGGAAAAGAAACCTGTCCTTTTTACCTTTTCCACTGGGCCCTTGTCATGAGCTCAGGCCAAGCCATATGCGGCATCTGTGGCACGGAAGCTCCTGGACGAGGAGCGGATGTTGAACCCCAGACCTCCTTGATGCCCGGTGGTTTCCCTGGTTTTCCCTGACCTGCTTGGTTGCTTTTCGTCAGTCTTGGGGTGCCCTGTGGTTGCTTCTTGCCAGATTTGGGGTGCCCTGTGTTTTTCTTTTTTGGAGGGGCTTTCCTTGAAAAAACCCATGCCGTTTTTGGGGGAGAAAGCCATCTTTTTTGGGGGGGCGTTCCACAAATTTGGAGACAAACCTTTTGCTTGTTTTCCCGAATAGACCCCCCGATTTCGGGGCGAACACAAAAGGGGCACCAAGGACTGGGGATTTGATTGCGCCACCGCTTGTAAAGGTTGTGATTCTACACATGTTCTTGGGCTTGGAGAGACTCGTGTACGTGACTCTTTGTTGTGAGCGCAATAATTTGGCCCTGTGCCAAAATAAGGGAACCTTCCGGAGGTTTGGCATCCTTCGCTTCGTCGTGTTTCTTGCCTTAGTGGCACATGCCCAATTGTCAGAATGGGATCAACCCCTTTGGGATGGAAGTGTGTCATCCTCATACCTAAGCTTGAAGATCAGAAGTGCGTATTCGCTTCTTTACAAGCCTGCGCCCACACATGGGAGAGCCACACAATGACCTGAGAGCGTAATCTCTCTAAGATTTCTGAACATGACGCTGAACACCAGCTTCTTTTCAGTGCCCTCGATTCATTTTTTGGGGTGCTATGATCCACTTTGAAAATAAGGGCACTTAGCCCTAAATCAAAGAGGTCACTTAAGCCATTTAAAGGGCACTTAGACCCTCAGGGTTGCCTCCTCAGCAGATCCCTCCTCAGTCCGGGCAAATCGAGCCGCAGCGACACGTGAATGCGAATGACACTCACACGGGAACGGGACCGACGCTGGGCAAATCGAGCCGCAGCGACACGCGAATGACACTCACGCAGGGGGGACCGACACTAGCGTAAGTGACCTTTTCAAGGGATAAGTGACCTCGATTCGCACCCCCAATGACACTCAAATGACACGCTTTGACACTCAAGACACCATGTTCGGGCTTTCCGGGTCGGCCCCAATCAAATGTGGCAGTTGTCACACTTCGACACGGGTAGCCCTTCGATTTCAACAGAATCCCAACCCCTATCAAGCCAACAAGGGCACTTAGCAAACGAATCAAAGGGGCACTTAGGCCACCGACACTGCCTTAAGTGCCCTCGATTCAAAAACAGGCCAAGTGCCCTCCATTAGAGGGCACTAAAAATATGCTGAACAGGTATATTTTGCCGCGCTCGGTATCAAAGGACCCACGGAAAACCTGGTGGAGAAAACCTGGAAACCACAAGGACACCGAACCCACGCCTGCAGGAAGCCAGGACCGGAAGCCAGGGAACCAGTAAACCTATGCACCGACAGGACGGAAAGCCATTCGCAACGACATCTTTGGACTGGGTTTGCAAACCTGAAGCTTGTTCTGGTGTCGTGTTTGCCACATTTGAATGGAGACGTCACGATTTTTTTAACGACAAAACCACTCAGAGCTGTTGATTCGCCGGGCATTTCTTTTTCCGCAGGACTGGCGGGTGCGGCTGGCCGCGGTGGTCGCCTTGGGTGACCTCAAGGCCAGTTTCGCAGAGCAGGCGGGGCTGGTCGGTCGCTGGTCACGGTATGTCACGCTGACCTTTGAGCAAGAAACTCTCTGAGCAAGAGAATCACTTGATTCCTCTCAGAATGCGTGTCTAAGTTGAGAGATCAACAATTCCAGGCAAGTCAAGATTTGGGCAGTCTTGCTTCTGGGTTTTGGGTCCATGGGAGCTTTTAATCATTTGAAGCTTTTGAGAAGAGTCCTGACTTGGTTCTTGACCCCCTTGAGCTTCAAAACGCTTCAAGTTGTTTTTTGTTTATGTTCAATGTGCTGCTTAAAAGTAGGATCCACACAGCCAGTGGAGCACTGCACAGCGCGCGGCGCCCACGGAGCAGTCGTGGAGGTCCAAAACGGTGTCGAACCTCGCGAAGAAACCAACAAATCTAGTGGTAATTACCAAAAACCACTAAAAACCAGAAAAAAAAGACAAAAACACATTTCCATAGCCTTCTTTCTAGAAAACTACCAGCCACATGTTCAAATACCGCAGGGCTCAAACCACTGCATGTGTCATGCGTTTGAGGTGTGGGTAGGGCAACATTAAGGGTTGTTGCTTGAGGCTTGGGGGATATTCCTGACGCGGGGTCCAACGTGTCTCACACCCGAAGCGGTCGGACAAGTTTTTGAGGGACTTGTTGGGAGGTGATTGTTTCCCAGGCCTAGGGCTTTGGCAGAGCCGGAAACATGGTTCCTGCTTTTCAGGTCTGTGATCTCATCCGATAGTATTTCTTCTACTTGGACTTAGTGTGGAAGATACCCTGAACATGTTAGTTGATGTTATTGGTGTAACCTTGGGGCTGCGTCCAGTTTGTTTCCAGACGGCGGAGCACCGTGAAATAAGGCGGCAAGAGCCTTGGTCTCTCTTTGCCTTTGTTTGCTCCGAAGCAGTATCCTGTCAAGAGTAAGGATGGAACCAGAACAAGGGTCCCTGTTAGTGGAATATGGTCGTCCCAGGGCCCCGGCAGGGGGGGGGGGTTATCCATTCCATGAAAAGACGCCCATTGGAGGCCTGTCTCGAAATTCGGAGCTCATGTTGGTGCTTCTTGTTGATTCTTAACGAGAGCCAAAGGCAAACACGGTGAGGTCCCTTTTCGGACATACGGTGGCTGCCCTAGATATCGCAAGTAAACCAACCATCCTCAACCACAAACCACTGCAAAACATGGGACACTTAAAGGGTTGTTTCTGTTCCCTTACTTGCAATATTTAGGGCATTCACGGTACCCACAAAAAAACAACAAACAAGACACACCACTCAGCAATCTGACGTGCTCTCGAGTTCGGCTCTGAACTTGACTCCAGTGCCGCTTGACTGCCTTTTCGCTGGTAAAATTGATGAAGGTGGACGTGTGCTTAGCAAGTGGGAAGAGCTGCTCTGTTGTACTGCCGCAAAAGTCACGCGTCCGTGAACTAAAGTCCGAGGCACAACGTCAGTTCAAGCGCCCGTGCTTGAGCCTCGCTTTCAGAGGGCGGCAGCTAGATCCAATGTCTACTTTGGGCGAGATGGAGGTGCAAGATGGTGACAGCGTTAATGCAATTGCCCAGCCTCCAAATCTCGCATCCACACACAGTGCGTTTGCACTTTGGGCCGCAGGGGGCGGAGCGCTCACCTGGGGCAACCCTTGCGCTGGCGGTAACAGCAGCTGGGTGCAAGAGCAGTTAGTGCGCGTCCAACAGATCCGCGCGACTGGGAGCGCGTTTGCTGCCATTCGCAGCGATGGCTCAGTGGTGACCTGGGGCTATCCTGACAATGGTGGTGACAGCCGTCGGGTGAAAGACAAGCTGGTGAGCGTCCAGCAGATCAAAGCGACTCGTGCTGCGTTTGCTGCCATCCTGGAAGACGGCTCAGTGGTGACCTGGGGCGATCCTGACACTGGTGGTGATTGCAATCAGCAGCTGGCGCGGGTCCAACAAATCCAGGCAACATATCATGCGTTTGCTGCCATTCTGGACGACGGATCTGTGGTGACTTGGGGCCATCTTTACTACGGTGGTGACAGCAGCGAGGTGCAAGAGCAGTTGGTGGGTGTCCAGCAGATCCAATCAACCCAGAGTGCCTTTGTTGCCATTCTGAACGATGGCTCTGCGGTGACTTGGGGCGATCCTGATTTTGGTGGTGACAGCAGCCAGGTCCGAGAGCAGTTGGCGCGCGTCCAGCGCGTTCAAGCAACTGACGATGCTTTTGCTGCCATTCTAGAAAACGGTTCCGTGGTGACTTGGGGCCATCCTGGGGGTGGCGGCGACAGCAGCCGCGTGCAAGAGCAGCTCGTGCGCGTACAGCAGATTCAAGCAGCGCGGACAGGTGCTTTTGCTGCCATCCTGGACGAAGGCTCCGTGGTGACTTGGGGCAATCCTGACAGCGGCGGTGACAGCAGCCAGGTGCAAGGGCAGTTGGTGCGTGTCCAGCATATTCAAGCAACGGGGGGAGCTTTTGCCGCCATCCTGACCGATGGCTCTGTGGTGACTTGGGGCGATCCTGATTTTGGCGGTGACAGCAGCCATGTGCGAGAGCAGTTGGTCCGTGTTCAGCAGATTCAAGCAACTCAGAGCGCATTCGCTGCCATTCTGGACGACGGCTCTGTTGTGACTTGGGGCGATTCGGGCTTTGGGGGTGACAGTAGCCAAGTGCGAGAGCAGTTGGTGCGGGTCCAGCAGATCCAAGCAACTGAGTTTGCTTTTGCTGCCATCCTGCACGACATCTCAGTGGTGACTTGGGGCGATCCTGACTATGGCGGTGACAGCAGCCAGGTGCAGACTCAACTTCACTTGCTGTGAGAAAGTTTGTCCTGTAGCCCTGCTTGTTTCGGGCCGGGGTTGTTCCTTTGAGCCGACCGCATCCTTAAGCACTCCTGTCATCACCATGAACAATCCACCCGAGATTAAAGATGCCTTTTCCTTCCAGTTGATTGCCAGCCAATACTACTTGAAAGGCACCCACATGGTTTTGCACAACTGCTCCTCCTATTCCGGCTTTTGGGCCCTCCACAACCTGCAATAAAAGACGCCCATTTGGCCCCCAACAGCAACGACATGGAAACACAATGTTCAAAATTGCAACTGCTATTGTCAAGACTTCTGCCAATGCTGTGTTGTTGATTTCTCAAGGGCTGCTTTTCGATTAAAAAAAAAAAAAAACATATAGAAAGGCAGCTAGCCGGATCAGACAAATACTTATGACATGTTGTTCAATGCATCTCGGTTTGACAAGCTCGTAAACATTACCCCCTTCAAGGCCAGCCCCCTAATGCTACTAAACCCTACCATATCTTGCATGTGGAGTCGAACATATGCGCTTGATGTATGGATAAATGTCATACATTGGGCAAAGTATACCGAGCTTACCTGTGGGTAAAATGCGCTCGCGGCTGGCATATGATAAAGCCGCCTGAGACCTTTTCCTCATGGTGCATCGCGGTATTTCGTGAGTGTCCAGCCTGCGTTTGACTCGTCTCGTTGCCCTCGGACGGAACCCTTGTCATTCGCGGCGAGGTGGGCGCACTCTGCCGGGATCCGGACAACCAGGTAAGGCGAAGC